GAGTCTCTGCTTCAGTCCAGATCCCGGCGCTCGGCGGTGTTGTTCTGTACTCCTGGAGGAGCTTGGTCAAAGGTGGTGGTGCCAGTCCGCGCGCTGCACCCCTTCCCTGATTTCCAGTCGTACCCTGAAATAGGGGGGCGGAATACGTTTGCTTTCCAGGAAAACGAAACGGATCAATTGTGAAACCGGCAAGCCTCGCGTTCATATTTGGGCCGGTCCGTGTCCCCGTTGACCCCAGTAACACCCCCATCTTTGGTCCGCCCCTCTCCCCGGGCCTGTCCTTCGTCGGTTACTAAGCTCATCCTCTTCCAGGCCCCGTGCTTGGCGCTTTCGGGAGGCGGCGGCGTTGAGAACCCCGGGCACGCGATGGGGGGGCGTCCTGCCCTTCTGGTCGCCGCAGCCACTCAGGGCCTTCATGGAGACAGGAGACCTGGCAGAGATCCCCAGAGATGAGCAGATTCAATATTCAAATGTAAAGTAACCCCTTTGGGGGCGCTGTTCCCTTTACCAATCTCAGAAAAATGTACACAAGCTTGTGCACAGCACAGGAGGGTTATGGACTCTGTTAAGTAACCTGGTTTCTCTTGTTCCCCCTTGGTGATACCACTTACACCCAGCCCTGGCTTCCGTGGTTGTGACCCTTCTGGGTCTGAGTCTGGGACGAGAGTCCCTGAAGCTGGTACCAGCTCGTTTTCAGCAGCTTCCATGCCTGGCCCGATACTGTTCCCTGGCCTGTTTCCATTTTTCCAGTTCTGTTGGCTCCTGAACTTGGCTCTGTGTTGTTTTCCACTCTGCCCTTGACCTTTGGACTTGGCAGTGAAACTTTATTTCTCAAACTTTGATCTTGGGCTGATGTCTTCCATCTCCCTAGCCCCACCTTACCAGCACTTCCCCATCCTGGTCACCTGCCTTCCTCTGGTTCATCACACCCAGCCCACCAGCCCATACCATCCTTCTCCAAGAAGATGTTCACACAGGACGAGATTGGGTTACCTTGAAAAAGAAAGAAGCCATGTAGGTGAGCCATGAGCTATTGCTTCCTCTCTTTGACCAAAGCAAAAACTCTGACAAGCCTAGGAAGAAGCAGACGAATTAGGTGCTTTGGTCAAAGAGAGGAAGCAATAGCTCATCCCTAGAGTTGTCTGTCTCTTCTCTCCTCAGGGAGACATGTCGTTCATTTCCCAGAAAATCTGCTCCCTCTTATGGCTCCCTGTTGTCATGTTCCTCTGTCACCCAGAGGTGACTGAATCAGCACCTAACCCCCACACAGTGAGTCACTGGCCAGGCACCATGGACCTCTACTGAGAATTTTTTTATTTTTGAGTTTGAGTCTCACTCTGTCACTCAGACTGGAGTGCAGTGGCACACTCACGGCCACCCCAGCGTTGACTTGCTAGACTCCTGCGATCTTTCCGCTTCAGCCTTTCAAGTGGCTGGAACTATAGGTGCGTGCTTCGATGACTGGCTAATTTTTGATTTATTAAAATCAAGTTGCCCAGGCTGGTCTTGAACCTGCAGGCTCAGGCAATTCACTCACCTCATTCTCCCAAAGTGCTAGGATTATAGCCTGAGCCACCAAGCCTGGCCTCCACTGAGAATTTTAACAGAGAGTCATGTGTCTATATTTAGTTGCTTTTGGTTTTGGACTCACAAAGTCACACAGGGTTGAAGGTCAGATAGGACCAGTTAAAAATGCTTTCAAGGTGAAGTTTTGGTGGAGCATAGGAGGCTAAACTGTGGGAAGATCATAGAGCAGGCATGCTTGGAGCCCCAAGAGATTGCTCCGCATCAACATGACACGGAGAGAAGCTACCCAGGGGCCTTGTACCCTTGAGGCGCTGCTGAGCTTCCGGCACTTTGCACCTAATTCTTCTGCTTCTTCCTAGGCTTGTCAGAGTTTTTGCTTTGGTCAAAGAGAGGAAGCAATAGCTCAGTTGATCCAAATGGAAATTTGTTTCTCCTATAAAAGTCCAAAGGGGGTGCTGGCACGTTGCAGATCAGCCACAGGCCTGTCCCCATCTGGTTGTTATGGGGGCTGCCTGGGCCTGATTGGTCGTCAGCATGGGTTTGCTTTGTGGGGGAGGAGGGTATGTGACAATGCAAAGGGTACCCGGCCCACTACTGGGGGAGCCCAAACTTACCTGCATGCAGCCTACTTGTGTAGTTAATCCTCACTTGTATCCCACATATTTATAACAAAATAAAATTTAATAACTAAAGGAGCTGAGAGAATCAACCTTGATTACAGCTGAGAACTGGAGAAGCGGGAGCAGCAGGAGATGAAGAACAGAACACCAGGGCAGTCATGGCAGAGCCTGGTGTGGCTTCTGGTCACATGGTCAATCAATCACAAGGGCCCTAATGTCCTCTCACACCTCATCAGGGGCTCAGGGGCATGACTCAGCTGTCTTGGTCCTGCAGCCCCTCTTGAAACAGATCCTTAATGCAAAATAGTTCTGGCCATCTATCTGTTCAGAGAGTCTGGAATACTTTGCAAACCAGTTGTTTTTCTAAAAGTTATATTTCTGGGGACAGTTATACAAAACAGTCCTGAGTGGGCAGCTGGGTCTCCCCTGCCTTGACTGATAAAAGAGGAAAGGACTAGAAAGGCCTGGAGTGTGGCCCCCATCACCACCAAATTGCTTCCAGACATGGCCTTTGTTATTGGTTCTTTCTCCTAGGACCTTGAAATGAAAGAGAGAAAAAAACAAAACAAAAAAACCAAAAAAACTCAGTTCCAGAAAATTCAGAGGCAAATAGAGGCTCCAGGTCTCCCACCCAAGACCCTGACTTGGAAGGCCAGAGAGAGATCCCATATTCATACAAAGAAGGAGCAGAGTCCTGTCAGTTCCCAAATTAGCCTAAGGCTTTGACTTTATTGTAAAACCCATCAGCAAACCCCCTCCCCATGTGATCTGATAGGTTTTAAGGGGCACAAGGACACGTTTGTTCCCACATTAGAGCAGAAACTAAAGTAGGAGCAAACAATCCTTGTGAAAGCTGGGCTAACTCTCTTTCTCCACGGTTTCAGGCCTCTGGGGTTTCATCCAAACTGTTCTCTGAGGGCCACACTGTGTTAAGGCCCTGGCTGATGCCAGAGACACAACCCACTACAGGCCGTAACCAAAGGCACAGCTTTGAAAGTTGTAGGAAACACCGAGGAGACAAAAGAGATGAGGTAAAGCATCTCAGCAGCCAGAAAGAGAGAGCTTTGCTTTTGCAGTCACAGCCCTTCCTCCCTAACCTGCAGACAGGAGGGGACCAGAAGCACACAGAGGATGGACTGCCTCTGGACAGTGTAGGGGAGGGGTAGGGGTGTCAGAGACAGGAGCCAGGTGACAGCAAAGTGATGAGAAAGTCCCAGAGTTCCTTGATAGTCACAGGACTTCCTCCACGTACTGAGTGTTAGGGTGCAGAGGGGCGCCGCACCACAGGGGTCAGCGTGCCGGAGGTGTGCGCTGGCAACCAGAGATCTGAGTAATGCAAAGATTTGCAACACACAAAAAGATGAAGTAAAAAAATATTTATTTAAGAAAAAGATCACTTCCTATAGACAGGAAGAGGGGCAGAACTCTAAGGTGTGGCCCTATTGTCCCCAAGCCCCTGACTTAAATCCTTTCTCTGGAGATGTTGCAATCAGGTAGACGACTCCTGTGAGACTTCCTTTTTGACCACTTGTGGATGTCTTGCAGACCCTGAGGAGGGGGTCTGGTCCCCAGGTCCCCAGGTCACGCGGTCTCATCACCCTCAGGAGTTTGTTTTAAGATTACAATGGGCCAATACTGGTCATGCTTGAGAGATCTGGGTTTCTAGAAAGAGAAAGTCAGCAAGGTTAATCTTTACCAAGAGTATGCATTCCTCCAGGACATAGTTTCTACTTTCTCATCATTGTGTTAAGATCTAGGAATAAAACAGTCCTCCTTTCACTGGGGATGGAGGTCTTCTCAGCTTGTGGGGATGTGACAGCAGCCCTGAACTTCCAGGTTGAGATGAACTGCTTTGGACCAAGAGGCAGCCTTGAGCCTGGGAAAGTGAGAGGCTTAGAGATGAGTGGTCTTCCATCTGACAGGGGCTTATAGTGTCATAGGACAGATGGTGCGGATGAAGCCTGCCCCACCCCTTCCCCCATCCCTTTGCAGGTCTCGGGCTCTTACAGCCTGCCTGTGTTGCCCCTGTCCTCTAGGCTTCCTGGCTCCCTGCTGCTAGATTGCCAGGGCCTCCTGCTAGGGCCTTCGTCTGTAGGTTGCATAGACCAAACCTGTTGTAGGCCATGAAGCATCTACTATAGTGGTCTGGTTTGGGTTTCTGTAATCCTTGCAATAGTTTGGAAGGAAATGGAAAGCTTGCCTTCTAACTACCCTTTCTTTATTTTTTAATATTTTTTTATTTTTAGAGACAGGGTCTTATAGTCTGTCGCCCAGGCTGGAGTGCAGAGGTGTGAGTCTCAAATTCCTAGGTTTAAGCAATCTTCCTGTCTCAGCCTCCCAAGCTGAGACTAGAGGTCTGTGCCACTATGCCCAGCTAATTTTTTTTATTTCATCTTCAAAAAATTTTTTTAGAGACAAAATTTCACTACATTGCCCAGGATGGTCTAGAACTCTGGTCTTCAGGCAGTCCTCCTACCTTGGCTTCCCAGCGTGCTGGGATTATAGGCATGAGCCATCATACCCTGCTACTTTTATTTTTGATTCAAGAACCTTTTAAATGTTCACTGATTGTGGTATTTGTTCCCTGAGGGAGTAAGAAAAAAAAAACCTAGCAGTTCTAGAACTACCTAGCCTAAAAACTAAAATAAAGGCAAAATAAATAAATAAAAGGAAGTAAAA